TATAATTTACTGCAGATATTTGAAAGGTTTGAAGAGGTCCATGGGCGACACATTCTGTTGATTTTGTTCACATGCCTGTTTCTGTTTAATGTGTTTTATTTGTTTTCTCCTTTTAATTGAGGACACTGTATGCAATCTGCACCATGAATGCCACTGATCGACACTTACTGTATTCTCCCTGACACACACGTGTGACATCTGTCATCGGTTCAGATGACTGCAAACACGTGTCGTGGCTTTATGGCTTTCCATGGAGTTACATAGCAATCACATATATCTAAAAATGATTTTATTTTACAAATTGATRATAGCTGCTTTAGAGGGTAATATACAATATAGATTTTCTAATAAATATTATTTTTAATCAGAAAAGAATGACTAAAGTCAAACCTAAATATAAATGATTTAATATTTGTGCATCACGCATCCATGTAAGCATTCCAAAGATTTATTTTACATGCTCTTTATTGTATAAAACAGACTTAAGTACTGGTCCATTGTACTGTAGTCTTAGTAGGAGAGTGAATCGGGAGAGGAGGTGGTCACTGGAGCATCTGGTTCTGACTTATGCCGGATTTCATTTTTGAAATGTTGGGACACAAAGAACAACTCATCAAGAACTGTATAAAGTATATTTCAATGGAATGTTCATGATCTATCTTTTTATATTTTGAAGAGAACAAGAAAAAAAATAGAGACATATCAATAAAGCGTCATAATTGAACATATTTCTACTATTGAGACTTAAAATGTATGAATGTCAATGCGATCTAATGTGAATCAATTTCCATAACAGCTTGAATGAATACCTGATTAACAGTCATGAGATGCTTTTTTCAGAGACAATAAAATGGCTTAAAAATCATTGAGATCAACTTAAAATAAAAGGAAAAAGTAATCTCACTTGTGTGTCAGTTTGTTGAAGTTTACAGATTCCTGAGAAACGACGGATGTGAGACAAWGAACACAGTTAGCTCTATTTGACATGACAGGAACAGAAAAGCACAGCAGTGACTGATGTAATCTGGGTTGAAATGAAAACACAGTAAAGCTCAACTAAAAAAACAAAACTAAACAAGAATGACACATTAGATCTGACAAGGTTTTTGTAAATGCCCAAGTTTACATGATACAGTGTGTTTTATACAATTTAAAATGGGTTTTTGCTTCTTGGTTATAGCTACTCATTACTCTGTCAGTTTGACAAACTATTGGGAAAAAATAGTCTGCAACAGAAAAGTTAAGCTAAAGTTATTAATTTGTCATCTGAGGTAAAGGCCCTGTCACACTAACGTTTTAGACAACTTATGCCGACTTGTGAACATTTTGTTATGACTAAATTTCTCATGTAGTTTAAATATTCATTCCAGTTGTTAGCATTACAGTATGTATAAACTCAAAAGAGACTTCCAGTAGATTTTTTATTTTTAATTTCATCTACAGCTTAGACATAATCACTGTTGGACAAATACTGTATTTCATAAGTTGCCTTAAATGTTGAAACAGGCCTTCACTAAGGGAGGGGCTCAATTCTCCCTCCCATCTAAGACCATTCTACCTGAGTTACTTGGCTAAATTTGAGACAGTTTTGACCTACAAGATCCTGTACCAACCTAACAATCCGAGCATTTTCTCGAAGGCATTTTTGTCCCGACTAGGACTAGACTGAGAAGTAGGGCTGGATCACCTGGGACATGGTGATTCTACTGTGCAACCCTATTCCATTCAGTTTTGATATTGATTCATTAGTTTATACGCATTGCTCAATGCCACTGACTCAATAAAACCAGCTAAATAATATAAAATTATGTTGTGTATTTATAATTTAAAAGACCAAAACGTGTCAAAAGGTCTGCTTTTRAAGACAAAGTTGCTTCCAGAATTAGTGTTGTAGTCAAGACCACCTAACCCAAGAGCAAGTCAAGAAAGACCAAGACCACAGTGTCTCGAGACCGAGACAAGACCATGATTTTTAGGGTTTGGACCAAGTCAAGACCAAAGCCAAGGGAGGGCGAGACTGAGACAAGACCAAGACCAGAAAGAWAAAAAAAGTGACCTAAAAGATGGAGTATTCTGTACACATGTACAGTGGGGGAAAAAAGTATTTAGTCTCTCATTGAGGTCTAACCATGATGTCAATTACAGGCCTCTCTCATCGTTTTAGGTGGGAGAACTTGAACTATTGGTGCTGACTAAATACTTTTCCCCCCACTGTAGCTATCTTAATATGTAGAGCTAATATTGACAAAATCTTTGTGTGAGGGCAGAGGAAAGAATTTTGCTACAGAGGCAGATTAGTGACGATAAAAGTTTAACGTTTTCCCCACCGTCTCTGAAAGTGAAGCACTGCTGAAGGTACAAGTTGCTGTATGCTTTCTCCTGGTTGTTGTTATTTTACGGTGATATTATTTATGAATAATGTACCCAATCTTTTTTACTTAAAATTTTGAAGACATCTTTTACCGCTCCCAGAGAACCAATGCCAATTTCCTGGAGTGAATGCGAGTGAAGACAGTGGGGATGGGTGACAGCTGCTAACAAAAATGCATAAATAGAAAACAAATCAGGGCTCGTATTTATAAAACTTCTTAGAGAGGATTTTTAGACTTACGTGCTGACTTTTTTTAGATTTGCTCCTACTCTCTCAGACTTAAGTGTAAGTTCAAGTTATCAAAATTCTTAAGTCTAAGAATCACTCTTACTCTCAAGAAAAGTTAAGACTGCTCCAGAGGACCCGTGTTTAAGAGTTGCCACTAAGGGGTCTGAGATGGACTGAGGAGACAGAGATTACAGCTGTCCTCCTCCCCAGCTGAGTGTTATTC